CCCCCAATTGCCTATGGCAGACTGGCATTGCGCAAAGCATGGCTGGTGTAGCTGGATGGCAGTCTTGAACTTGGTGTTGTCTGCACATTTGATGAGCTCCTGTCTATCCCCTCATCTAGATCATTGATGAAGATGTTGAAGAACACTGGGCCCAAGTCAGAATCTTGAGGTATCCTACTGTACATGGAGGTATCTCCATGTACTGTACTGTACTGTACATGTACTGTAGATACAATTCCATTGAGGACTACACACTGTAGTTAATCACCAACTGTGAATTCATCTGGTGATGGTACTGTCTATCTTATCAAGAAGTAGGCTGTGGTGTACTTTGTCAAATGCCTTACTGAAGTCCAAATAAATGAAATCCACAGTAATTGCCTGATCCACTAGTTTAATCATTTTGTTAAAGAAGGTGCTAAGATTTGTCTGACATGATTTGTTTTTAACAAATGTTGGCTTCTAGTGAAGAATTAGGAATGATATAATAGCTGTCTTCCAGTACTTGAAAACTATCATTAGCTGATTGGGTCAACTCTAAAACTCCTGAGGTTAGGACAAGAAACCATGAATGGAAATTCACTAATTTATCCAATTTATTTATTCATAGCATCTCATGTTACCTTTGTAGACTGCTACAATTCACACCACAATCTAATCCTCTATCTTGATGAACAACTTCTACCATCTGCCACCCCCACTGCACCTGCTATGATGCCCCCCCCACACACTCCATAGAGACCATGATTCCACTGGCTCCCCTGGGCAGAGAGTTCTGCTCCCACCCCAACCCTCCTGCCATTGATGCTTCTTGCAAGCACCCGTGCACTGCACAGAGGCCATGATCCTACCTGCCAGCACCCCATGCAAATGTCCCTAGGCTGAGGATCCCACTGCTGACCCATCCCTCGTGCCACCGGTGCCCTCTGTGCTTCCACAGAGGCCACAATCTCACAGGCAGTCCTCCACAATCCGACAGGCAGTCCTCCACAAGCACCCACATCCACTCCACCTGCCAAAAATGCCCCCTGCACCTCCACAAAGGCCATTATTTTGTGGGTGCTTCTCTGCAAGTGCTCACCCAAATCACCTGAAGTCACCACCCCATACAAGCACCCTGGGCTGAGGGTTTTACTGTTGTCCTCTGTATTGCCTGCTGCTATTGCCCGATGCCACAGTAACACGGGCACTTCTCCTCAAGCCCCTCCCCTACTTTGCTTGCCACCATTTTCCCCTGAAAGCATTCCTGGGCTGCGGTTCCCTCTGCCACACCAGCCCCACCTTCCACCAGCAGGTGCACCAAAGTGGGGCTAATAATCTCATGGGGAAATTGGTTGTGCAGATTTATGCCATGGTGCAAATAGACAGCGTGGAAGAACCTGTAGAGTAGTAGTCATGGTGGTATAGCATTGGTGGAGGGTCAGCCATGGATGAAGGCCTGTGGTGGGTCACCTGGGGTAGGAAGGTATGGTTAAGTGTCCGTGAAGGGCCAGACAGGGACAAATGCCCACAGAGGACAGTTGGGTCAGAGAGGCCAGGATGAAGTGGTCAAGGACCTGTGGCCATGACTAATTGTCCCATTCTGCTGGGAGTGCAGCAAATGAGTAGGTTAGTTTGGTTGCTCAACAGTAAAACACTGGTGAAGCAGGAACACCAGCGACTACATTTTCTGCATTGCTTGAGAAGAGCACATATTCCTTCCTCGTCCTTACCACTTTTTATACAAGAATAATTGAAAGCATCCTGTTGTATTGCATTATTGTTTGATTTGAAAGTATTACTGCTTTGGATAGGAAGACTGTGTGGAGAGTGGTGAGATCAGTGGAAAAGATTTTTGGAAGTTCACTTCTTTCTATCCAGGATATGGCATATTAGCGTTGCTTGACCAGGGATATTACACATCCTCTCCAGAATCAATGTTATGACCCAGGTCACCTAGGGAGATGTAGGCTTCAATAAAGTCCTTTATTGCTCAGTTATTCCATGACATATGGCTCTACAATGGCCAGTAACTTTCCCAAAGGCAGCCACTCACAGTCAGTGTAACACAGTCCCACAAACTAAAGCCAAGGCCAAGTCATCAGAACCAATTCACAAGGGGCAAATCCACAAGGCAAGGTCTGCAAATCATAAACAAGGTTCAAGGTCCATAAGACAAGATCCAGAGTCCATAAGCAAGATTCAGAGTGCACAGGAGAGAAACACAATCCAAAGCCGAGTTTTTCCAAGACCAGGGAAGTGTACTCCAAAGCAAAACAATTGTTCCCAATGAAAATATCCTCCCCCGGTCTCTGATTAAATAAACTCAAGCCAGGTGCTCCTTGTGATGAGATGTGGGGTGGCTTTCTCACTAGCTACCCTGCAGATGTCCTTTGAGCTTCCCTCTAATCTACTTTCTATGTCTTCAGATCAAGTGGGAGAGGGGATCTGCTACCTCTCATCACCACTGCCTGTCTGCAGCCGATTGCTCCATGTGTTTGTGAGGGCAGGCACCTCACCTTCCTACCTTAAATGGAGCTCATACATAAATTCCTGGAATATAGCAGAATGTTTGCCAAAAGGTCCAGATCTGTAAAGTTCATCACACAACCAGATCTTATTTTTCTCCAGGAAACATGGATTTATGATGTCACCCCATCAATTCAACATTCAAGTTGGAAACAGCGATATAGACCAAAAGAAGAGCTAGGACCATTTATTTACATGATCCCGAGTGTTCAAAAATAGAACAACTCATCTTTTCAGGATGGGTGTGTATATGCGAGAGAGAGTTTTAATTCAATTTAGAGATTTTTTTGTAGTATGCATAAATATTTATTTTTCATGTCAAATCAACTTTGAGATCCGCTGGAGACTTCTTTCAAGAACTATGTAAAATGATACCCCAAAGCATATATTATTTTGTGTGTGTGTGTGTGTGTTTGTGTGTGAGTATAATGCTACAACTGACTGTAATGGCTATAATCTATTTAGTCATTTTAACCTTGTCTTCCTCATTTCAGTGATACACCTTTTCTTCTAATGGCATATTGTCCCCTAGACAAAAATTCTGCTGATCTTAGACTGCAGACAAACAGTTCCCAAAACAAAGCAAGTGTACCAATTGGCTAGACTAATGGACAATGGGAAGACCAGGGGAAAAGGGAAAGTTTTCCTATGCTGTTTGGGAGGCCCAGGGGTGAAAATGGGGTTTTACTTATGTGGGTTTTCACAGGAAAACCTCAGAGCTGACTTTGCTTCTTCTGTGCCTAAATGGATTTTTCAATAAAGTTTTATTCTTGGTAGTTGCTACATGCCAGGAGTTTCTTTTTTTGTATGTGCCAAATAGGACAGTTTGAGCCGAATTTATTTAATAATTTTAAATTTTTAATTGATATTTGTCTTTAAATAGGCTGTACACCGCCCTGAGTCCTTCGGGAGAAGGGCGGTATAGAAATAAAATTATACTTATACTTATACTTTCACAATAGTGTCTACATGGATGCCACCAGGCGGCCAGAAACCCCAAGATGTTGGAAATAGACAAGGAGGTAGAGGAGAAGAAGAAGTTGAAAGAAACCTTGGCTTGAGAAGCCCCAGTCAAATGAAAGAAACAAAATGTTAAAAAGTTACGTTATTTATGTAGTTACTTACCAAGCACATCTACACATCTACTCTTAAGGGAGTAGCTGAGAGATGCCCCCTACCAGAGACTGAAGACCGCCAAAGCTGAGGACCCCTAAAAACTTAGGAGTCAATGTGATCCAAGGGAGCAAATGGAAGGTGAAGGACCAGTTGAGTGGGATGAGCTGATTAAGTGGAAACTTCCAGCGGCCACCTGCAGCCCATTGGTGGAGCAACTGAAGGAAAAGTTCAGCGGGCTAGAGATCAAAGGAGTGTACCAATTGGCTAGACTAATGGACAGTGGGAAGACCAGGGGAAAAGGGAAAGTTTTCCTATGCTGTTTGCATGTCTGAAGTTAGAATTGGCTTTTCTACTTCTCTACACAGAGAGACTGTTGACAGTTATTCTGTTATCTCTTTTGTGGATACAATACCAATCTTGGAGAAAAAGATACCTATCCACAGATTCGGATTCCAACTTCTTGCTATCATGTCTTCAGAATGCATGATTCTCCATTTTTACTGAAGGAAACAGAGCAAGAATATTCCCATGCCAATACAACTCCCATCTTTCCCTTATAGTGCTGTGCACCACTTTGAATAGAATATGGTATTAAGAGCTATGGGACTCTAGTTAAGAAGATCCAGATGGCTAGTAGATGGGTATGAATATAAAACATAGAATTATAGGGTAGAAAAAGACCTTGGAGGTCTTCTAGTCCAACACTTTACTCAAGGCAGGAGCCTTACACCATCTCAGTCAAAGAGTTGTTTAGTCTATTTTTGATGGAGTAGTAGATCGCCCAAAACTCCAGGAGGCAAGCTATTCCATTCAATAATTGTTCTCATTGTCAGAAAATTTCTCCTTACTTCTAGATTGGATCTCTCTTTAACAAGCTTCCACCCATTACTACTTCTCCTGCCTTCTGGTGCTTTGAGAATAAGTAAATGCTCTCTTCTTTGTGACAGCCCTTATAGTACTGGAAGAGAGTTATTATCCCTCCCCCCAGTCCTTCTGTTCAATAGGCTAGGCATGTCTAGCTCCCTCAACTGTTCATCATACCATTTAACTTCCAGACCCTTTATCATCTTCGTTGCTCTTCTCTGCACACATTCTAGGGCTCATCATCTTTTTTGTATCATGTTGCTAAGATCAATATTTAGTATTCCAAATGTGACCTTACTAGTGCAGTAGAAGGTGGTATTATCACTTCTCATGATCTTATATTATCCCTATGTTGATACAGCCCAGGACTTCATTGGCATTTTTGGCTGCTGCAGCACATTGCTGTCCCATACTTTAGTGGTGGTCCACTATGACACCTAGATCTCTGTCACAATTACTACTGTTGAGCCAGGTACCATCTATTCTATTCTGGTTTTTCCTGCCTAAGTTCAGGACCTTACTTTTCTCACCACTGAACTGTATCTTGTTGAATAGGGCATAATGCTCACATCTGTCAAGATCCTTCTGATCTTGGATCTATCTTCCAAAGAGTTCCCAATTCCCCCCTGCATGGTGTCATCTATAAATTTAATAAGTTCCAAAATTATTGAAGAAATATAGGATATGGAATTGAACTATGAATAGAGGTAATTATAATATAAATAAGGATATAATTTAAGTTAGAGATTATATATCTCTATATAATCTATATAACTTTTGTAAATATGTTTGTTATGATAGAGATACCGATATAGAAAAGCTGCTATTAGAGTTGTACTTTTGTACTGTGTTTTAAATGTTGGAATTTCAATAAATGCTATATTTTTTTTAAAAAAATAAATGTAATAAGTTCCACTTCTGATTATTTTTCACTTTTTCTGCACTTAGACAGGAAAATCAAATGCATAGGTACAACATTTATGTATGTTTGTATCAGTGGTGAAATCCTACCGGTTCGCACCAGTTCGGGCGAACCAGTAGTGATAAAAGCTACTGGTTCGGAGAACTGGTAGTAAAAAGAAAGCTACCGGTTGGTCCAAACTGGTATTTCTGATGATCAGCTGTGCCACACGATTTAAAATAGCTAGAAAGCAGGAAATCCTGCTTTCTAGTGAATCTAAATCAAGCAGCACAGCTGTTACACCCCATCACTGTTCTACTTACTTTCCCAAGCCTCCTTTTTCTGCATGTAGCGCATGAATGGTGCATATTGCGCATGTGCACACACAGTGTGCATGTGGCATGCACTGTGCATGCACACACAACATGCGTTTGTCACACACTGCACATGTGCATGCAGCGAACTGCTGGCAAACTGGGGAGGATTTCAGCACTGTATGTATGTATGTATGTATGTATGTATGTATGTATGTATGTATATATATATGTATGTAATTATTTATTTTTATTGATTCATTGGTTTCTATAGCTGCCCATCTCAGCAAATGACTTTGGGTGGTTTACCATTACCACAAATAGCTGGTAAAAACATATCAGAATCCTAACTGCTTCCTGACATCCAATGGTTGTCCAGATTTTAGTAGCCAAGACTTGGCATCCATATAATACACAGTTCCTACAATATACTAATCCATATAATAAGGAATGGGAATTGAGATAAAGTTCTCTTACTTTCACTAACATAGAAATATAATCCTGTAAAATTTATTTATTTAAATGAAAAATAACAGTGTATATCTATGTTCTACACCTATGTTATTACTGAAAACTTCATTCACGTTTTTCTTATTTTAATTGAAAAGGTCTGCTAGTGTGTTGTTTAATTTGTTTTTGATCACTGCTCATGTTTTATGTTGATGTATTTTATGTTTTTATTGTCCATATGCTCTGTAGTGAGATGTGGTGGGTAGGAAATACAAAAACAAATGTGAATATAAAGATGAGAATATGGCAAAATTACAACACACTGATATTGCTGCCAGTTATTCTACTCTAAATAGAAAATTTAAATTTAAAATAACATTATTACATTTGAGGAAAAGCCATGATCTTCTACTATGTAAAGTTTTCTTGTACAGAATGGAGAACTTGGAATTAAAATTACAAAATTATATTTAGCAGTTAAGACAATCTTATTCCTACCATAAACAATAATTCTAACTACCAAAATTCATTCTTTAACATTCTACAGTTGCCTGATATTGAAAACAATATCACATATTTCAGGGTGCAACAGGGACAGTAGACGTCCTAGTGGTTCACCTCTCCATTATAACTGACAGGTTGTGCTAGAAACTAAGAGGGAACAGTAAGCAAACTCAGCATGAGTGTTAGCCAAACTGACTAAATTATTAATTTGTGAATGAATTAACAGATAAATTTAGCCCTTCTTTCTCTGACTAAAGCATAAGACATGGTTCCTCATTCCTTAAAATGAATCTCTGTTCTAATATTTTACTTTGTGCTATTTTATGCCTTGGAATGTTTTGAATATGTATTTATGGAACTCATGAATTTCCCAATTGGAGCATCTTCAGGGCATTTTAATTTGGTGAGGGTTTTGTCTTTTTAAAAATGTATTTAGAAAATAAATTTATTACTATTACTGTTGTGATATGTTTTCTACATACATTATTAATTCGTTAATTAGCAAAAAGTTCATATATTTTGTCTGCTTGGTTGGTTGGCCTGTAGTATACATTTATGCAATGTAATTTCTTTTTCCTTTTATATTAACCCATATGGATTAAATCCTTGGGTCTGTGCCTTTCTGTAGAAATATAGTGATCTCTTTCATATAATGCAACTCCACATCCTTTTTTGTTAAATCTGTTTCTTTTGAACAGTTTGTATCCTTCCAGTAGTACATTCCAGTCATGAGTTTCATTCCACCAACTATAACATACTTGTCCTCATGTGCTAGTACTTCAAATTTGCCTTGTTTATTGCCAGAAGTCCTTTAAGTAGGTAATGCATGGTCTAGCCATCCAAATTTCTCTTGGCAGCACTAATCCTTAAGCCAGTGGTTCATTTCTAAAATTCTTCGTTACCTCATTGGTTATTGATCTTTCCTTGGAAGTACAGATGAAAACACCAGTTATGCTCCTAACTCTCTAACTTTCTTCCCAAGCTGCTTCTAACTTCTCAATATTGTTGTTGTGTTGTTTGTCCCTATGTGAATAAGAAGAAATGAGTATAGATAGTCCTTGACTTTACAACAGCACTGAAAAAGTGACCATTTTTCATGATCCCCATGATCATGTGATCAAAATTCAGATGCTTGGTAACTGGTTCTTACTTATGAACATTGCTGTGTCCCAGGTTCATGTGATCACTTTTTGCCATCTTTTGACAAACAGAGTCAATGGGGAAGCCAGATACACTTAACAACAGGGCTACTAACTTATCAACTGCAGTGATTCACTTAATAACTGTGGCAAGAAAGGTCATAAAATGGGACAAAACAGTCTCACTGAGCAATAGAAATTTGGACTTAATTGTGGTTGTAAGTCAAGAACTATCTATAGTAATCTGGGATTGATTATTTTAGTAAGGTTTTCAGCCACATGTTTGATTTTTGCTCTAGGGAGACAACATACCTCCCTAGACTGAATATTTGGTATACAGATGGCTGATTCTATTATCCTGAGAATTGAATCTCTTATCATCAACACTCACCCTTTTTTCCCCTAGGGTAATTGGAGCTACTTTTCTTCCTTTCACAGGAGCACTTGATAGTGCCTCTTTTCTAGAGACAGTTGATGCCTCTTTGCTAGGTGTCTGCATGCTTTCTTCAATCTCTACCCTTCCTCTCCTGAAGTTTCCTAATTTATTTATTCAGTTTATATGATCACTCTTCCTAACAGATTTAAGGGTTCATCAGTTGTATGGCCCTTCATGACTTGTAGAACTTCAACTCCCAGAATTTCTTAGCCAGCATACTCTATAGAACCGTGATGGTGAACCTATGGCACGCGTGCCACAGCTGGCATGCAAAGACCTCTCTGCCGGCACATGAGCCATCACAAAGTTCAGCTCCACCGCATGTGCGCGTGCACGCCTCCTGCCGGCAGCTGATTTTTGGGACGAGCGAGGGGTGCATGTGGGAGATGTGTGTGCATGTGCGGGGGTTGCGCATGCATATGTGGGGATTGGGGAGCACGGGGTGCAGTGCGCCCCTATTACGGCCCATTTTTGGGCCCAGGAAGCTGCAGGGAGGCCCACTAGACCAAAAAGGAGGGATGGGGGAGTCACACACGCATGCGTGGGAGGGTGGGGGAGGGCAGAGGTCATGCGTGCATGCATGGGGGGAGGGCGAGTGTGGAGGGGGATCATGTACACATGCATGGGGATGCATTGCATTATGGGTGCCGGCACACTTGCGTGATTTCGGCACACAACAAGAAAAAGGTTAGCCATCACTGCTACATTATGTTGCCAATGTCTATGTGTCTATTGATGGCTAATTTGTCAGAGTGCCAGGCTTCTAGATAGGGCAAGGTGCTACAATATAAATTGTCAGCAAATTTCACTCCTTACTAGCACTAATGATGTTACCTAGTTTGGGTAATGAAATATTTGCAAGAAAACAAGCAAGCTCAGAGAGCACCAAGGACTTACCGTATTTTTCAGAGTATAAGACACACCTTTCCCTCCCAAAAAAGAGGGTGAAAATCTGGGTGCGTCTTATACTCCAAAAGTATCCCTGCCCAGCCTCTCAAACGGAAGTTTCAGAGGCTGAAAAAAGCCTCAGAAATGAAGCCTCAGAAAAATAGCCTCCAAACAGAGCTTCAAAAAAAAAAAAAAAAAAGCCTCAGAAACAAAGCTGCAGAAAAAAATCCTCCAAACAGAGCTTCAGAAAAAAAAGCGTCTGAAAGGAAGCTTCAGGAAAAAATCCTCCAAAACAGAGCTTCGGAAAAAACAAAGTTTCAGAGGCTTTTTTTCTGAAGCTCTGTTTCAGAGGCTTTCAGAGGCAGAAAAAAAAGTTTTTTCTAAAACGGAGTTTCAGAAGTTTTAGAGGCTGAAAAAAAAGCAAGGCACAGAACTCACAACCAACGAACCTGTTGCTAAAATTCACCTCTGGGAACATCTGATAGGGGGTCTTCCAGGAGGCTGATCCACCTGCCAATCAGCTTTTTTCTTATTTTCCTTTCCAAAAACTAAAGTGCATCTTATACTCTGATGCATCTTATAGTCCGATGCATTTTATACTCCGAAAAATACGGTAATCTGCTTTCCTTTCTGGTTTTATTGCTATCCCCCTTTAACTTGGTGACAGTTCAAGCCAGGGAGACACAGTGGCACATAAATGGGATGACTTTATGGTGCAACACCAAGGCTCTGGATCCCTTTTGGTTGATTTGAGAGCCTTTCCTGGCACATACCATTTGGGCATTTTGCAAATTAAAAAGTAATGTGAAATGAAGAACAATGTCTTTTGAATCAGCCACTGTATGTCAGTGCATGTACAGTGACTGTACAAAATAGAATAATCTTGTTGTTCCTCGCTTGGACAAAAAAAGATTTATGTATGTATGTATGTATGTATGTACTGTATGTATGTATGTATGTATGTATGTATGTATGTATTGCTAGCAATAAGTTTGGGTATATTAGTTCCATTTGTTCAATGATACTCTTTTGATTCCCCCTCCTCCGTCTACTGCCCATAAGGCTGGGATGCTGA